GGTTCACTGTACTTGTAAAGGTGTCTAGCAGGTTACTGGACAACAGTGAATGCTCTCTGGACAGCCGGTCACTACAAAACTTCTCAGTTTTCTTCTAATGCAGCGGTTCTCAACCTGTGGGTCTCGACCCCTTTGGGGGTCCAACAACCCTTTCACGGGGGTCACCTAAGACCATTGGAGAACATATTTCCGATGGTCTTCGGAACCGAGACACTGCTTCTCTATCCATCTCCAGGCGGGTCCGCCCACATGCAGATGCTCCCACATACGTGTACCTGGCATGAAGACTATTACCCATGCTACCCCATGCTTCAAGACAAAATTTCATCTATTTGTCATTAGAAAGAAATATTTCACAATACATGATTACATATTGTTTTGTGATTAATTACTAGGCTTTAATTATGTTCAATTTGTAAAAATGAAAATACATCCTGCCTATCAGATATTTACATGACTATTGATTCATCACAGTAGCAAAATGACAGTGATGAAGTAGCAATGAAAATAATTGGATATTTACATGACTATTGATTCATCACAGTAGCAAAATGACAGTGATGAAGTAGCAATGAAAATAATTTTATGGTTGGAGGCCACCACATTAAGGGGTCGCGGCATGAGGAAGGTTGAGAACCACTGCTCGAATGGAACATTCCCCAGTCACCTGCGGAGAGGTGTGGCGGTCGGTCGCGGAGCGCGGACTCACATGAGGTATTTGACTCCACTGGGAATGCTCTCATCCAGGAAGACAGACTGAATAAGTTTCTGATAAGTGTTGCTCAGAACCCTTCTGCTGCGTGACTCCAATCGTTCATCTGGAACCAAGGAGAGATCATCAACCGCGCGGGCGAGGGTTCACGGCCTATCCACGGGAGAAGTCTGCCGAGCACTAGACGGGAAGGAGAACGAGCAAGGAGCAACGATCGAAGGCTAGAGATCATTGCTCTGCAGCGTCAGAAAACGTGCTCCTGAAAGCCCCCCAGAAGCCGGCCCTGTCGCCAACGTCACCGTGTGCTGTACTGGGAGGCCTTAACCCTTCTCCCGTCATCATTCAGAGCAGAGGAAAATCCAAGGCCGCCAGGTCAATCCCCACCACAGCCCCCTGCTGACACACTGTCACGGTCTTTGTTCTCGATCAGGAAGAGCTTCTTCTGGGAACAGCGCTCCTCCCCGTGACCCGTGACAGCAAATTACCGAATGGCCTATCTCTACAGAGACCGTGAGCTCCGCCTTCTAGACCAGGATCATTTGAGGACCGTCCGGCCTGCTTCGGAAGCCAACCGTCTCTGCCTCGGGACCCGCGCCCACATTTGGAAAAGGACCGCGACACCTTGGTGGCACTCACATTCCCGAAGAGCACTTTGCTCCATGGAGGGAAAGGCCCGGAACCGCTGCTCTCGGTCTGACCGGCGGCGTTTTCTCAGTGGTTCTTTACCGACCTCAGCGTCTACTGGAGGGAAGCAGAGGGTATGAAAAGTTACAGGCTTTGGGCCCTGCTGGATTTGCCTCAACTTCGGTCAACACTGGAGCCCAAAGGGCGCGAGAGACTCCCTCTCGGCTCTGTGCTCCAGACGTGGGGACAGGCCCAGTGGGGTCGATCCAGTGGGTTTCTACTTCCCAGAGTCCTGGGATGGATGTTGGGCATGGAGGGACCATGTGCAGAGTTCAACATATCTCCCCAATGGAAGGTTTCAGTTAGGACGCCTCAAGAAGCCAAAATGACTACAGAGCCTTTGCCAGATGCCAAGGTTCAGGAAATCCAACACCTGGTGTGGGGTGAAGAAGGGCATCGTTCACCTCGGGGGAGGGTGCTGGCCCTTCTTTTCAGACTAGGAATGAATGGAACAGAACAGAGCAAAGAACCAGCCATCTAAGCAGGGCAGCTCAATTCACCACCACGAATTTCAGGGAGCTGTAATCTGTACAATCAGATCTCCTATAGATACGTAAGTGTGTTGGAGGTGTTCTACTACCCCACCCCACCTCAGGGACAGCTTGTGGGGGATGTTTTTCCCCTTCTTCATCAAAAGACAACAGCAGCATTTTCAACAACAGAAATCACTAAGAACCTGAGCCTTGAGCTCTTCAGCAGTTCCCTCCGTTACGGGGCTCCCTTTGATTGTGGAAGTGAAGAAGTTGTAGGGCCCATGAGCCTAAGAAGGGGATGATGAAAATGCTGTATTGGGGTTTGGTTCTTAAAAGCAACAATAACAAAAAGACCCCTTGGTGGGGTTCACCTGGTCTTAAAGGACAATAGGTGAGTGCTTGGGGTGAAAGTGGTGAGAAAATGTTCCCCGGCCCTCCTGGAAATGGCTCTGAGGTGAACTGAACAGTTGACGCCCAAGAGTGATCCCACCCCACGCTTGTGTATGGTCATGAGGTCCTGAAAGTGAACGTGTGCCCTGAAGCCACTGTTCCTGAAGAACTGTGGGGAAGTAGCTTCTCTTGGGCACCCAGATGGTCGCCGGACAGAAGTCCGGGTCTCCACCACTGGCCTGCACATGTAGGCCTCGCAAGCAGCTCAGGTAGCCTTCCAGGAGCCAACTCACACCCCAAGGTGTCTCCACACCATGGCACTCACCAAAGCCTGAATCCCTGCCACCTCCTGCTCATGCAGCGATGGACAGATGGGGAGTTGAAAGAATTTCTACTTCAGACCTTTCCATCCCAGACATTTCTAACGTCATGACTGAACTCAATGCTAAGAATTCATTCTGGCTCCGTTTAAGGACTCCATTATCGTTAAATACCAAGTGGTTGCTGGCTCAGTGGCCAGAGCTGGAGCGGAAGAGACAGAGAAGAAAAGAGAATGCCAATGAGGCTCCTAGGGACCCATCACCGGCAGAGAATACTGGGGTCCATGTTCCAAAGAGCAGCTCAGATTTCTGGAATGTTCTCATCACCTCACTGTAGGACCTTGCTCTTTACTTTGTAACTCAGAAACGCTTGTCTAAACACCGTCTGCTTGGTGTCATGCCCTCACGCACAACCTAAGAGAAAAACCCAGCTAGCCCACGGTCCTCAGTTTCAACTTTATAAGAGCTGCTAATGAATCTGATAAAAGCTTGGAAGCCTATTTCTCAAAGAAAACAAAGGCTACAGGTCAGACAAAACATCAAGAGTTTTACATTTTTCTTCGATTTTTAACGTAAGAGAACACCTGGAAATAAGAACGTATCCTGTCTCCTTTTACACCACTTGAAACAAACTCACAGCCATGAGTTGATGGCGACCTTATGGGGCAGGTAGACCTGCTCCTGTGGGTTTCTGAGACTGTAACTCTTTACGGGACTAGAAGCCCAGTCTTTCTCCCATGGAGAGGCTGGTGGTTTTGAACTGCTCACCTTGTGGATTGCAGCCCAATGCTTAACCGCTAAGATCCCAGGGCCCCTTTTACACCACTTAGGAGTAGTAGTTTTATATTTAAGACAGGATTGAAGGAAGACTCATGAACAACCTTCGATATGCAGATGGAACAACTTTGCTTACTAAAAGTAAACAGTTTGAAGTGTTTCCTGATGAAAATAAAAAGACTGCAGTCTAAACATTTTTTTAAAGACTACAGCCTTTCGTATGGATTACATACACTTCAACATAATGAAAACAGAAGTCCTGGAGACAACATTTTTATATTAAATTGTAACTTGAAAAACTGGAATGGACTTGGAACACATCCCTTATGGTTCCCTTTAATTAATTGCTCAAGCACCCTCTAGCATTTTACTCGGAATTATCCTCCTAAGAGCAGTAGCAGCTGAGACAATCCAATCAAGGGCTTCGTTTTTTGACTGCTGTTTCTCATTGTTGCCACACGGTGTCGCTCTTGTAAACGTATTCTCACCAACTGAAAAGCCATTGAGGATTCTTAGTTGGTCAATGACTGCCAGAGAACAATGCTACTCCAATCCCACTCCTTCCGGGTGAAGCTCAATGAAGGGTGCCCCCAAATTGCAGCTCTTTCCGTTCGTGCCCAAACACGTCTCACATGCTAGCCACTCCGGCACTGATCCAGAAACACCACCTCCTAGGTCCCCAGAGAGTCAGGGAATGTTTCCCTTCAATCCTCAGAACACTGAGGATGTGCAATAACCCTGTTTTCTGCACTGAGCGACGGCTTCCCTAACATCTTGCCGGAAGATCCCTCATTGGATGGAGGCTCCCTATGCCCCACCTTCTGGGGGAATGGGGCTGCTCTACCTGACTCCACCAGGGGTGACCCTCGGGGGAGGTTCCAAAGGGCCTAGTCCTACCTGTCTCAGGAAAGCCACGGGAAGTGATCGCAGGGGCCTTACAGGTCCCAGCTTACAAGGGGCTCTCCCCTGACAGGAGCCTTAGGACTTTGTAGGTTACCTGTTGGGCTGCTCCCTGCATTGTCAACACTTCGAAACCACGAGCCACTCCACAGCAGAAAGAAGGGGGTTTCTACCCCTATACAGAGTTACTGGGCGAGAAACCCACGGGGGCAGTTCGGTTGGTCCAAGCTCCCGGCCAGGAAGGGGTGGTGCACCTGGGTGGACGTTACACCTGGAGGCCAGGTGAATTTGATTCCACCAGCGGGGCGACCAGTATTGTGGACCACGCCTCCCAATGGTGGGGCGGCTTCAAAGCCCGAAGTTTTGCCCTGGTCTCTCCCTCCAGCGGCTCTGGCTCCAACACAGTGCAGCCACCTGGCCCAGCCGCTGTCCAGCGCACGTGTGTCGCTTCTTTTCTCTGTTAACTCACTTGGATCACAAACCAGGCTTCGCGTGAATTCTTTCCTGCGTGAAGCGAAGGACCGAGGCTTCTCTCTCCCAGGTGAGAGTTCTACCCGGCGTTCTAGGGCGCTATGAGTCAGCGTGGACTTTGATGGCAGTGACGTTATTAGTACTCTCTGAGAGTCTGAGGTGAGTTTCTGGAAACTTTTATAAATAAACTCTTTTAGTTATTGTTCAAACCATTAATATTCATTTACTCCTGAGTCTAGACATGAGAGACTGGCCTCAGAGAAAGAGCGAGGAACAGTGGTGCATATACTCTGGGAAGCTGCAGGGATATTACCTGGTGGTGAATTTTGACCCAGAAAATCCTCCATTTCTTGAGAGGTGAACTCTTGCTTTTGTCCACTTGGTAGAATCAGCCTGAAAGTGAACACGTGAGGTATTTAGGTTCTTAAAGGTCAGCGCAGAGGGCACCACATAGCTCAGCCATCAATAGACTATCCTGGAGTTTCTGTCTCCTATTGTAAACCAAGCCAGAACCAAACTCACTGCCCTAGAGTCGATGCCAACTCAGAGCGACCCTATGGGACAGGTGTAACTGCCTCTGTGGGCTGCTGAGACTGTAACTCTACCGTCTTACTCCTGCAGGGCGGCTGGTGGCTTCAAACTGCTGGCCTTGAGGTTAGGAAGGAGCCCAATGCATAGCCACTCCGCCACCGGGGCTTCCTGTCTCCTATCATGGAGAAGGAGCATTGGGAGGACACAAACAGGGAGTACCATAAGTGCTTCCTCTCCATCTCTGATGTTTCAGTCAGATCACGCAGCTGTGTATTTTGAAAGCAGCGCCTTCTTAGCCCTTCTGAAAAATGCAAACTCCCACCTGCTCTGTCAACTGTCACTTGACCCAGAGACTGTTAGCCAGGGAGGCTTGCCTCATTTACATAGCCTAAAATTAAAATAATGACTCATCAATCAAAATCACCTCCTGCTGTTTGTTTGTGGTAGGTGTCAATTGCTGGTGGTTAAACAGTCAACATCTATTGTGTGCACAGTCCTGAGCCTCAGGTCCAGATCCTTATCCAACTCCGGACAGTTCTCTGAGGCTGGCTCTTCTTCCTTTTAGCATTGTTCCTCCTTTCCGATAAATACTTATTTGCTTTTCTTTTTTAACCCCCAAAGAGCCTCGTTGAACACTTCCTGTGAGAAACCATGCCCTGATTCACAAAGTCCACCCAGATGACTCTAGTGTCGCGCGCAGGACTCTGCAGGCATGCTTGCTGTTCTCTGCTCCTGCATCTTCTTCCTCACTGGTCTGGATGCTCACTGAGGCCAGGGGCTGCGGTCTTTTCATTTCTCGCAACAAGTACAAAATGATGCAGATAAATGCTCGGTGAACGGATGGAAAAATAGCTGGGAAGCTCGCAATGAGATTCCACACCACAGGAAGTTTAAAAAATAAATGAAATGTGTCCTAGTTTGAGTCCGGACATAAAGAGAAAAGGAAAGGCCGGAACAGAGAGACCAGCGTGCATCTGGAGCAGCATTGCTAGTAAGGATTGCTCTGGGAGTGCGGAACAATCCTGACTCAAGGAAAGGCAGACATAGGCAGGGACAGGAAGGGGTGAAGGGATCTCATAGTGGCCCTCAAAGGCAGGACCTTAGAGCTGTAATGTAAAACAGGGGTGGGGCATATTCTCTATGTTCCCCAAGTGGGTGGAACTAACTGCACTAGGTGGATGGCATGACTGGCACAGTGGCACAATGCTATGATCAGAGGACATTCGCTGGGACATCAGATCTGGCCCCGCCACCACACAGCAGTAAGACAACTCTCACTGCCATCATGCCGACTCTGGCTCATAACAACCCTAGTGGGCAGGATCGAACTGCTCCTGTGGAGTTCCAAGACCAGCTCTTTGCAGGAGTAGAAAGCCTTGTCCCTCCCCTGCAGGGGGCTTCCAGTTAGCAGCCCAACATGTCACCAATAGGCCACCTGGGACCTGGGACAAGTCATTCGGTTACTCAGGGCCTCCGTTTTTCCCATCTGGAAATGAAAGACGGAGCGAGTGCTTCAAGTGCTCCTGTCCTCTCGCTTGCTTGTGTTCTAAGAAGATTAAAAGGCTCACTTTGAAACGTCTTTGAAACCAAGGGCAGACCGACGCTTAGGCTCCCCTCATAAAGCAACACACCAGCTTTCAAGTTAATGCTGTTGGAGAAAAAAATGGCCCACCTGAGCACAGGTGTTCCTCAAGGGGGGCAGGAGTGACCATATGCACACTGTGAAGTTTTTGTGTCTGCGAGAAGCGATCAAAAGCAGTCGAGATGCTTTGCTCCCCAGCCAGGGGTTTGCCTCTGTGATTTTACTTCACCTGCTGGTCATCGACTCTGTGGTAAGCCCTCCATGCTAACGCTGAGTGCGTATTTACATTCATGTGCCCTACGAATAGCATCATTTAAATGAAACCCTCTACGTATTTAGCTACAGAAGGGGACGTTGCACAAACCTAGTTTCCTGTTAGATAACTGTGACTTTTAGCCGTTACTCCCCCCCGCCCAATAGTTTTATTGACTTAAAATTTGCACCTCGTCTGCTTCCATAGTTATGTTGCTTTTTAGAAGAGCTGCATATACATCATTGCAATCAGTTCTAGTGCACCCTCTCTGGCCGTTATTCTTGCTTCTCCCAACACTCCTGGTTGACTCTATTTTTGTTAGCTCTTACGGTCTTTTTTCATCAAGTAAAATAAAGAGGTGACACAAATGCAGTAGTTATTCCTGAACTCAACCCTAGCTTGCCTCACACCATCCACATGGACTAGCAAGACCAGCAAGGAGCCCTGGTGGTGTAGTGGTTCTGTGCTGGGCTGCCATCTGCATGGAATGCAGTTTGAAACCACCAGCAGCTCCTTGGGAGAAAGACTGGGCTTTCTACTCAATGAAACGGTCACCGTTTCAGAAACACACAGAGTGTCACTCGCTGTGTGAGTCTGCAGTGACTCGATGGTTTTTGCGAAATAACTGCATTTAGAGGAATCGAGCTGATTCTGACTCACAGAGTCCAAGGCTTTATAAAATGTTAAGGAGCAGACAGCCTCATATTTCTCCCAAGGAGCGGCTGGTGGATTTGAATCACCAACCTTGCAGTTAGCTATCCAACAACGATCCTACAGAGTCACCACAGAGGCAGACACTGAGGTACATAGAAGGGAGGGGTCTTAGCCAATGTCACGTTGTAAGGGAGTGGCAATTGGATCCTGAGCTCAGGTTTTCTGATTCCAAATTCTGTGTTCTTGTTATGACAGCCTCTCCTAGGCACTATCGAAGCCTGCTCTGTGGTGCTGGGGGAGGACTCCTGATGGCAAAGGGGTTACGAATTGTATAACAGAATGATTATGCTCTTCCCAACCACCTGTCTCTCCCATGGAGAAAGAGGAGGCTTCCTACTCCCATAGAGTTACAGTCTCCCAAACCCACCAGGGCAGGTGTTCTACCCTGTTCTGTCGTGTTGCGATGAGTTGGAATTAGTCGATGGCAATGAGTCTGATATGGGTTTGGTGCAGCTGGGGAAGAGCGATGGGCAGTGCTGGAATATGAGGGACTCTCTCAAATGCATGGTGATAGACACTTCCTGGGATTGAAGGCTGATGGGTAGGAGGTAACTCTTTCCACCTTTTTTTTTTTTTATTCTTCCTGCATCATTCAATATTTTGCCCATGGAATCCTTTCATATGCAACCCTATATGGGGTTTCTGAGACTGTACATCTTTATGGGAGCATACAGCCCCATGCTCACCTTTGGAACGACTGGTGAATTTGAACTGCCCAGGCATAACCCCCTGTACCATAGGGATGCCTTCCAGGACACCCCCACCCCACAAGGAAAAGCCAAACACCAACCCATTGCCATGGCGTCAATTCTAACCCACAGCAACCCCACACGACAGAGTACAACTGCTCCTTGGGGTTCCCAAGACTGTGGACCATTACAGGAACAGACACGTTCATCTTTCTCCTGAGATGCAGCTGGTGGGTTTGAACCACCCACCTACCTTGCAGTTAACAGCCCAATGCTTAACTCACTGGTCAGCTCCCTACTTTTAAGAAATGTGGGAAGCTGGCACATAGGAAGCACTTAAACACTTGGTGAGTTGATAAAACCTAAGTCTGAAATCTCTCTTAGATGGCAAGATTAAGAATAAAGAGCCCCTGTGGCACTGTGAGTTAGGTGCTGACCTGCTAACTACAAGGTTGGTGATTCAAAGCCACCAGCTGCTCCCCAGGAGAATGACGAGGCTGGCTGCTCCTGTGAAAGATTTCCAGCTTCGGAAACCCAGTCTAGAGTGGTGATGAATCAGAATTGGCTCAATGGCGGTGAGTTTGGTGTGGGAGTTTCCATAGGATTAATAATACCAGAGTTCATATTCATTGATCCATTGATTGGGTAGATATTTATGGAGTCTACTATGAGCCAGGCCTGTTTTAGGTGTTGGGATGCAGGATGGGACAATCTAAGCCCCTTCTCTGCCCACGTGGGCTTGCATCCCAGGCTGTGACTGGGGATGTGAAAATCATTCAGGATTTAGTGACAGAATACCTGGATTTTAAGTCTTAAGGGTGGGCTTCTAAACGTTCATGGGGGAAAAAAATGAAATTAAAATAGAAAATGCCAGTTCAAATATTAAGTAAGTTTAGAGGAACCTCCACCACTCCAAAAGAAATAGACAGTGGCATTTTCCACTTATTTTATTTTTATAATGTATTATTCATTGGGAGTTAATACATATATCATACCATTCTATATTCAATCGCATCAAGCAGAATTGTACAACTGCTACCACAATCAGTTCCAAAACATTCTTTTTCCATGAGTTTTTGAAGCACCCCACCCCCCATGCCCTGCCGATACTTCTGTGTAATCCCGAACAAAGCACCTGCCGTCTCAGAGGAAATGGTCCATGTCTATCAGGAGTTCATTGTGAAACAGAAATGTGAGAGTGCACATAAAACTGCTTCCATACACGTGTGCACCTGTACAAATGTTACATAATTATCTTTAGAATATTTGGTGGAGGCAGTTAAACTAGATACAGCCACTAGCCTTCCCCAAGACTAGTCTACATGGATTGGGGCAACAGAGGCTACTTCAACCATTGTCCTGGCTTCCCGCCTCTGCCCTGTTGTTCCGTCATCATGAGGACTCCACACTGTCCTCCCTAGGAGATTTCGGTGAAGGTTCCGCCCCTGGCACCAAAGGTAAGCTGAAGAAAGGGATAGGAGAAGAGCTTCTACCTGAAACCCTGAAATGTGAATGGCACACAGGATTTTCTCTCTCTCTTTTTAATATCAGGGTTGAGATTAAGCATCTTTGGGCTTGGCAACATTTTACTATGACTTTATTGAACGTTGCATTGTTCTTGCAA